AAAATATTTTTACTTGATAGCACATGTATAAAGTATATCAAACTTCCTATCATTTTCAGAAGACGAGAGGGGAGGGAGGGAGAAAAATTTGGAACTCAAAATCTTGTAAAAATAAATGCTAAAAATGTTCTTGACATGTAACTGGGATAAAAAAATGAAGTATTATTTTTAAAAAGTTGTTGGGCATTGCCCCAGAAAAGCCCAAAGTGATTATAAATGATTTTATTAAGGGATAAATTTACATGTAAAGATGGTTCCATCTCATGTGAAGTAGAAATTCTTGCCAATGGCTGTACAGGAGACTGTCAAATGATTTTCACAAATGCCTACAGATTTTCAAGATACATTTACAGGTAGGCAGAGAAATCATTAGGTCCTCAAGCAAGTACTCTGTCTGTGTTAGAGGACTCTGGTTTTGGGGGTATCTTCAAATGTACCAAAAGAAAGAACATTCCCTTCTCTGCCATACTATTTCCCCTGTTATGTTAATATGAAGCCATTCATCACATATGAAGAGATAAAGATTAGCCCAGGAAGCTGCCTTCTAGCAGGGGTCAAAACTGGTATGCCTGTAACATATTTAGTGATCCCTAATGATGTTATGAAGACAAGATTATAGGTGCCAGCCCAGGCCAGTTAAACCATCAAGTTTATGAAAATTCTAGCAAAAATGGACCTCAGGGGGCAGCTAGGTGGCGCAGTGGATACAGCACTGGCCCTGGAGTCAGGAGGACCTGAGTTCAGATCCGGCCTCAGACACATAACACTCGCTTAGCTGAGTAACTCTGGGCAAGTCACTTAAAAAAATGGACCTCAGAGATTTTTTTTTTAAGGTGTTGTACATGTGTTCCAATCTTTTCCCTAGTTTAGTGGGATACTGCTGACACACTGGTTCTACACTGACACTAGAAGCATAAAATGTATGGACCATTTCAAAATCCAGTACCAATTTACATGTGCCCAATCTTGATCATGCTGGGGCTATAAATTAGCAGTTGCTGTATTTGTAGGGATTGAAATTTAGATTTTACATACCTTGGTATATATACATGTCATGGGGTGTTATTAGAGAGGAATTCCCAGGAAAACATACATAATGCCATATTTTATTGTCATTGCTAAGATAAAAGTGTTCTTGATTAGGACTAACTTCTATTCCTTGTTTAAATTTAGCTTTAGCCTTTTTCTCTTTATCATATAGGTTTTGTACACCTTTAATACCAAGTCCTAGTGAAATTCCTATACATGATTAATTCTCTGGGATTTGGCTTACAAATATGTATATTTGCAATTTGACCTTGTCTAAGTGTTTGGGTAATACTGATATAGAATTTGAGAGAAGAAACAAAGTTGTATATTTTATTTAGGCTAGGGTTATGGTTCCAAAAGCAGCTATGGAATAGGTATCCTGTAGAGACAGAATGGCAAATACAGCAACATGAGCTCCAGGAATCATAAGAGAAAGAGAAAATAGAAAAGAATTCACATGTCATCCCCGGAAAGACGTCCAAAAATATAAACTCCTAGGAACAGCATTAGGGAAACTAGGTGGCACAGAGAAAGATTCATTTTCCTGAATTCAAATCTGATCTCAGACACTTACTAGTTGTATGATCCTGGGCAAGTCACTTGCCCACTGTTTGCCTCAGTTTCCTCATCTATAAACCAGGCAAAACTAGGATAATCTTACAAGGTGATGCCATGAATTGCAAGTGAATTGAATTTAAGTGAGGGAGGGCTGTGCAAATATCAGCCTCACTTTCTCCTCTGGAGCCATCTGGGTCCAGGAGTAAGATATAGATCAGAACAACTAAAGATGACCCTTGAGCCTTGAAATGAGGACATTAGAAAAAGGGAGAGATCCCAAAGACATTAAAAAAAAAGAGAGATGTTTCCTTGTTGTATAAAAATGTTTACAGCAGCTCTTTTAGCTGGTGGTTAGCCACGGAAATCAAAGGGGTGCCCATTAATAGGGGAATGGTTTAAGAAGCTGTGGTATATGATTGTAATGGAATATTATTATGCTATAAGAAATGACAAGCAGGATGATTTCAGAAAAACCTGGAAAGACTTACATGAACTGAACCAAAGTGAAGTGAATAGAACCAAGAGAATATTGTACACATTAACAACAATATTGTTCAATGAGGAACTGTGAATGACTTAGATATTCTTAACAATACAATGATCCAAGACAATCCCAAAGTACTAATGATGAAGCATAATATCCATCTTCAGAGAAAGAACTGATATTGTTTGAATACAGACTGAAGCATGCTAATTTTCACTTTCTTTCATTTTTTTCTTTTATTCAAGTCTTCTTGTACAAAATGACTAACATGGAAATGTTTTACACAACGAGGGCTAGGTGAGGAGAGGGCGGCAAGAAGGGATAGAATTTGGAATTCAAAACTTTAAACAAAAAATGTTAAAAAGAAAAGAAAAAAGGAGAGAACTCTGGATCTCCCCAAATCACTGGCTATTAATAATCATTTCTCTCACTTATGCTGTGTTACGCCAATTAAACTTTTAAAAGAATATTTTATAGAGCTAGAAAAAAATGAAATTCATATAGAAAAATAAATCATTAGTGAGAAGGAAGGGAGGAGGGAGAGTGTCCTGATCAGTATCTGATGTAAAATTTTACTACATGATAGTAACCATTAAAATGATGTGGAAAAATTGGGACACTAACTCATTGTTGGTGGAACTGTAAAATGATCTAACCATTCAGGAGAGCAATCTTGAATTATGCTCAAACAGTTATTAAACTACCTATGCCCTTTGACCCAGCAATACCACTATTTGAGAAAAAGGAAAAGAACTTATGTGTTCTAAAATGTTTATAGCAGCTCTTTGTGGTTGCAAAGAATTGGAAATTGCAGAAATGCATATCAATTGTGGAATGGTTGGACAAGTTGTGGTATATGATTGGAATGGAATACTACTGTGATATAAGAAATGATGAGCTCAATCATTTTAGAAAAACATGGAAAGACTTGTATGAAATAATGAATAGTGAAATGAGGAGAAACAAGAGAATACTGAATAATAACAGCAATATTGTTTTAAGAATGACTTTGAGCAAATAAGTCATTTTGTCTATTAAAAATACCTAAATTAACCCAAAAGAACATTTGAAGAAAGATGCTAACTGCATCCAGCGAAAAAGGTGATAAATAGAAATATGTCTAGAATAATTTTTACATATCTATCTACCTATCTATCTATCTATCTATCTATCTATCTATCTATCTATCTATCTATCTATCTATCTATCTATCTATCTATACCTCTTTGTACCTAATGATAGCCATCTATAGGGTGGGGGGGTGGGAAAGGAGGGAAGAAAAAAAAGAAATTTACATGACAATTTTTTTGTATATTTGAAAGGAATAGCAAGCTGTGCATCGTAGATCTGCAATTTCATGTACAATCATCTTTTTTAATTGTACTAATTATCAAAATGTTTCTTTTATTCTATAAAAAATAAAATTTTAAAAAATGATTTGATACTGGTTAACAAAAAGAAAACTCTAACAATGGAACAGATTATATATACATAATAGCACAGTGCTCAAATTAACCCAAAGACCACAGTTACTAGAAGGAGAACTTATTTACCATAAACTGCTGAGAAAACAGGCAACAGTCAGGCAGAAATTAGATTTAGACCAACACTTCACACTATTTACTAAGATAAACCTCAAAAGGATACATGACCTAAATTTGAAGTCATATCAAAAACAAATTAGTTCTATGGCTAAACAAGTTATACAAAGGAACATGCAAGATTAAGTGGTCAATTTTGTTTATTCAAAATCTAAAAGGTTTTGAACTAACAAATTTATTACAGTAAAAGTTAGAATGGAAACAGGTAATAAGAGGGAAATTTATGCAACCAAGTTCTCTGATAAAAATCTCATAACAAAAATATATAAGGAACTGATTCAATTTTATAAGACTTGGAGTCATTCCTCAATAGTCAGAGGATATGAATAGGCAGTTTTCAAAGGAAGAAATCCAAGTTACCAATCATATGAAAAAATACTCTAAATCACTAACAATTAGAAAAATGTAAATGAAAGCAACTCTGATGTAATTAATTTATAAACTAAAATATAAATTAAAGCAATCCAACTCACATCTATCAGACTGGCACAGATGACAAAAGAGGAAAATGAGAAATGTGGGAGGGGTTGTAGGAAAACAGAGACTCTAGTGAAATGTTGATGGAGCAATTAATTGGTCTAGTCCTCCTGGAAAGCATACCCTTTGACTCAGCCAAATTAAGCTTATATTTCAAAGAGATCAAAGAAAGAGGAAAAGGATCTTTATGTACAAAAATATGAGTAGCAGCTTTTTTTGTAGTAGCCAAAAAACGTAAAGTAAGATGTTGTATTCCAATGGGAAGAAGCTAAATAAACTGTGTTATATGTAAAGGTAAGGAATATTATTGTGCCATAAGAAATGATGAATTGGACAGACCTCTATGAACACAGACTGAAGTGAACAGAACTACAAAAATAATTTATAGAAGGTGAAAAACAACTTTGAAAAACTTTAGAATTCTTATCATATTTGGTTGTATTAAAGTTAACACCTCGATAGATAAAAACAACCCAAAGCATATGTTAAACTATCCACATATGTTAGATATTCACACAAAACTAGTACAGCTTCTATCACATCTTGACTCTTGATGGCATAGTTCCAAAACTTTCTAGGGAAGAACTAAAACAATCTTAAAACAATTAGGAGAACTGGAGGACCATAATACAAATATTAAGATCACAAAACCAGATGAGCAGTCTCCTTAAAAAACAAAGAAATTAGGGAATATGGACACAGCAAGGCCACACAATCACAACCCACCTCAACAATATGTAGGACAGCTCTTACCACAGGTGCTTAAAACATGTATAAAGATATTCACCTATTACAACATCTGAAAGGGTTACCAAAAATAGTTAATTTCCAGTTTAAAGAAACACACATACCTCTTTTGTCTGATTTGCCTTAGCAACTGCCTCCTGTGTTAAGCGTTCCTGAACCAAAATGCGAATTGCCTAATAGATAAAAAAAACAAAAAACTTTTTAATCTTTCTTTTTACACAGATGGGTAAATTAAACGGCATATCATCCTTTTCTTTCTATGACTCAGTAGTACAAGGGTACCAAAGGGTATTAATCAGAATTCACCAATGTTGAGAATAAAGGGCTACAATATGTGGTTTAGATTTCTTATCCCCACCCTCACCTCACTACTGGTCCTCAAAAGTGCTCTCCCCCTTCCTATTACCATCCTTAACTCACAAAAACTGTTGCTGCTGTGAAAATATTTTTATCTAGTTTTGGTTAATTAAAGATGCCATTTATGTATCTTAATTATTTAGTTATTTCTACAACCAGTCTCTCTGATAAGGGCCTCATTTCTAAAATATATAGAGAATTAAGTCAAATTTATAAGAGTACAAGCTATTCCCCAACTGATAAATGGTCAAAGGATATGAACAGACAGTTCTCAGGTGAAGAAATTAAAGCCATCTATAGTCATATGAAAAAATGCTCTAAATCATTACTGATTAGAGAAATGCAAATCAAAACAACTCTCAGGTACCACATCACACCTATCAGAATGGACAACATGACAAAACAGGAAAATGACAAATGCTGGAGAAGATGTGGGAAAATTGGAACACTAATGCATTGTTGGTGGAGTTGTGAAATGATCTAACCATTTTGGAGAGCAATTTGGAACTATGCCCAAAGGGCTATAAAAATGTGCATACCCTTTGACCCAGCAATAGAACTTCTAGGGCTATATCCCAAAGAGATCACACAAATGGGAAAAGGACCTACATGTACAAAAATATTCAAAGCAGCTCTTTTTGTGGTGGCAAAGAATTGGAAATTGAGAGGATGTCCATCAAGTGGGGAATGGCTGAGCAAGGTGTGGTATATGAATGTGATGGGATACTATTGTGCTATAAGAAATGATGAACAGGGGGCAGCTAGGTGGCACAGTGCATAGAGATCCAGCCTTAGAGTCAGAAGAACCTGAGTTCAAATCTGGCCTCAGGCATTTGATGCTTGCTAGCTATGTGACCCTGGGCAAGTCACTTAACCCCAATTGCCTCACCAAAAAAAAAAGAAATGATGAACAGGCTGACTTCAGAAAAACCTGGAAAGACTTGTATGGTCTGATGCTGAGCGAAATGAACAGAACCAAGAGAACGTCGTACACAATAACAGCCACATTGTGTGATGACTAATATTGATAAACTTAACCCTTCCTGGCAATACAAGGATCTAAGACCTCTCCAGAGGCCTCGTGATGGAAAATGCTATCCACACCCAAAGAAAGAACTATGGAAGCTGAATTGTTATTTTTTTTCTCTTCTGTTGAGTTTTATTTCCTCTTTCTGATGGTTCCTCCTATTGGTTTTAATTTCTACTTACAACATCACTAATGTGAAAATATGTTTAATATGAATGTAAATGTATAGCCTATATCAGATTAAGTGCCGTCTTGGAGAGGGTGGCGGGGAGGAAGGGGGAGAAAAAATTTTAAACTCAAAAGCATATGGAAGTGATTATTGATAAATCAAAATAAACTAATTAAAAAAAAAGAAAAAAATTTAGTTATTTCAAAGAACATATTACATTTAACCACATGTTAAAAATAATTCAAGGGGCAGCTAGGTGGTGCAGTGGATAGAGCACTGGCCCTGAAGTCAGGAGGACCTGAGGTCAAATCTAGCCTCAGACCCAACACTTGACACATACTAGCTGTGTGACTTTGGGCAAGTCACTTAACCCCGATTGCCTCACTAAAAAAAAAACCAATAATAATAATAGTAATAATTCAAAACAACATTTTTTTCATCACACTTTTTTTCAGGCAAAGCATGAAACTACAAAGGGTAACATATAGGCCTAAGGACACAGATTGGCTACCCACCATAATACAGGTTCCTAAATATAAATAATATTTCATCTCAGAGCTCCAACACACCTTATTTCTATACACAGAAAATCTTGTTTACTGATTAGTGATCTTATTACCAAGATACAAAGTACGCTACTAAACTGTAGGACTATGTACTATGTTGTGTGTATATATGTATGTATGTATGTGTGCATATGTATATGTATTTTTTTTTAATCTCATAGTATCTGTTTTATTTCAATAAAGAGAGCATCATACACACTTTCCAGAATTATGGTATTTTTTAAAAGAAAGATATACACAGTACTTCTCTTACAATATTAAACTTAAGAATATAAACTGACCTTAAGCATTACCAAGTAATCATCATGACGCTGGATCTGAAGAAGGTTGGCCAAAGCCATTACTCCTGCCTTAAAATCAGGATTATTCACTGTAAAACAAATACATATAAAAGTTGATTTCATATTTATTTACAAAGGTATGATACAGATTTAGATTACTATTAGGCTGAGAACTTTAAAGAAAAAAAAGGCATCTACAATTTCTTACCCAAGAATTACCCCAAAGAACATACAAAATTAAAATCCTAGCACTAACAAATATGATGGTAAAACTACTTCTTTTTCTTCAATAATGTTCATGCATTCAACCTAAAGGCCTGGTGAGCAATTTTATTCACACTGATTTTATCCTATGTAATTCTTTTTCTACAAAACTTATGTAAGTCGTATTTTTCATTAACATTTCTTTCCAAAACCATCAATATAATCTGCAGCTTCTGAGAGCCCCAAAAACTTATTAGTTCATATGAGTGACAATTCATAAAAAAGACATCAAAAAAGAACCAGTCACTGGTAGATTATTTTTTTATGAGCTAACTAATAAGAATCTTCATTTAAAGCAAACAACAAAAAATAGTAAAAAGCAAAGACTGACTAAAAGAGGCTGAAACAGTGAAACCTATCAGTGTACCTAACTACAAATTACTTTTGTGATAAATAGTAAATACCAATAATCTCCATCTTGCTTTAACAACAACAACAACATAATTATGATAATATCACTGAGTAGGACATTTTCCAATGTAAGGATGTTCTAAAAATACTATGCACAGGCAATTTTGCATATAATGTTAGTTTTCCAATAATTTCCTTCTTTCATATTGATATTTTACTAAAGATAAAACAGTAATAACATATAATCATAAAAAATGTGTTCTGCCTTAGTTAGCTCAGACTTACGTTCTTAATCATGTTATGATTAATCAATATATAATACACAGATTTTAATGAAGCATACTTTCTTTAAGTTTCCTCCAAACTATCTAAGACAAGAATTCCATTTTCTTTTAGGAAAAACATGGAATTAACCAAATGGAAAGAGTGAAAATCAATTTAAAATGACCAATCTGAATTTTAAACATTGAAGCTTTATAATACCCCTGAATATCCTTGTAACCATTTAGATTCACCTTTTTTTTCTTTTTGAAAACCCATTCAGTAATTAAGACTTACAGTTGTGGGGGGAAAAATACACTGCCCACTACTCAATTACAGTGAGATCTAAAAGATTCTATCTCCCTTTATAGGGGCAGTTAGGTGGTGCAGTGAATAGAGTACCAGCCCTGGAGTCAGGAGGACCTGAGTTCAAATCCAGCCTCAGACACATGATACTCACTAGCTGGGTGATCCTGGGCAAGTCACTTAACCCCAACTGCCTAACCAAAAAAAAAAAAAAAAAAAGACTTACAGTTGGGTATCCCAGCTATGTATGTACATAGCTATGTAACAAAGTGGTCTACAGAGAAAAAGTTTTTAAATGCATTGGAACCTTGCTATCCATAAACATTATTATGATGTTATTAATTGATTTTAAAAAGGAAGTCTTTCATTCTAAAATCACGCTCATCTATTTAAAATTTCTTCAGAAAAGTTAGATATATTCATATGTGGGTCAATTTATTTTACTTAAAAATATACACAATTTTCCCTTCTTACAAAACTGAGATACCATCCTAAGAAAGGGAAATGAATGGAAACATATTACATAATATCCTAAGGATAAGATTTCAGAAAACCACTGCATTAAAAAAAATTAGATTTTAATCTGACACAAATATTTATTTATCCTAGACCAACTTTGTATCTATTTGAAGAATTCATTTGTTTACTAAAATAAATCTATATTGAAAGATTTAATTCTAAATAAAAGAAAATTTAAAAAAGTATTTTAGCTAAATTAGTGCTATCAAACAATCTTTACTCAGTTGCACACTTACCATCCAAATTTATCAGTGGCTCTGCATTTTTAGCTGCATTGTCAGCATTTTTAGCATTATCTGATACAGAATCCTTGTATTTGTCAGCTATAAGAAAGGCATAAATTAATTAGTCATAATAGTAATAATATGATAATATAATAATTAAAGTTGAATGCTATATTAGTTTACTTAGGATAAGTGAAAAATTATCCTACAGAAAATATAAATTAAGAGGACAGGTAGGTTAAATATTTTAATAAGTCCTAAGATAACTTTACTGAGTAAACTAAATGCATTTACAATTTGTTCAACATTTACCTAAACCATTCTGATGCCATTGTGTTTGTAACATTCTAATTTTCAAGGACTCTCACCTAAGCATTCCCTCTTGCTCTTCTTCTGCTTGTCTGACCAGAATTTACTGCCAATACTTCACTCATTTCACTAACATGCTCTGACAAGCATGGTATGAACTGTGCCAAAAATGAGTAACACACAAAAGACATTTGTATACCTCAAAGACTTTAAGAAAAAAGCTGCAAAATGGCCTATTGAAGACATTCAGCTAGATAGTCTGGCTTGAAATCCCAATTAATCCAAAATGGACAGTGGCTCCAGAATCTGGTAGAATGAATCCAAGAACAGTTGCACAAAAATTGCTACCAAGGAACATTCATCTATAGCTTCTCAATGACATGTGGGCAACACTTTTGTTACACAGAGTCCAATCTCATATTGATACATTTCCAACATCATGTGAATGGTATCAACATGGCACATCCACTCACACTGACGAACACGAAAACACACACACACAGAGATATACTTCAACGCTTTTGAGATCTGAAGGTAAGTCCATTCATTTATTTTAATCACAAAAATCTACATGATATTTAAATTGAGTCAATAACTGACTTCATTTTCACTCAATTCATACAAGTACATTCCTGACTCAAAGATATTCCCCTATTTACCAATGTAGTGGAAGATGAACATCAAGAAACACAGACACAACTACATACTTCCTTATCTCCTTCCCTCTCTGAGAATAGAAGGGTGGATCCTCATACTGCTAGCCTAAACAGAGTAAGCTCCCATATCCCATCCAGAACCCACATGCTATAAGGCTTACAGATTAACAAATAATTACCTAGCAACAAGCTGGGAAGTAAGGACAAATTTCTGAAGATTGTTTTGAATAAATAAATTTACTTTTTCTTGGGATTTGGGTCAACATGTTCTGCAGAATTTCTAACGTTGAATAGTATTATGTACTATTGTGTTCTTCTGATGGTGACAGCAGACAATACACAAACTGATTCCAGGTGTATTTATAGAAACTGTGAACATGTTTTAAAATTATATGCACTTTTTAAACATACTACATCTCAAGTCAAAATTACTTTTTCTGAATAGCAGAGTAACTGTCAAAAGGCACTGTTCTGTTGAAATTGTAAAGTGCAAAAAGTGGATTACCTACTCTTAAAAACATAATACACATTAAGGTCATAAATTTCATAAATAAATTCAATTTTTAAAATAGATTTCCTCTCAAATTTTAAAAACATTTAATACAGAATTAAATAAAGTTGTATCCATTTTCTTTCACTAAAATTTTGCCTGAAAAGTAAAGTTGTTTCTCTCCTAAACTTCCATCATCTTACTTACCAAAACATCAAAACATCTCAATACTTCAAAAACACAATAATTTACACTGCCCTAAACATTAGATGGTTTAGAACTACAAAGTAGGATTTTAATATAATCACTTGAAAAGAAATGTTTATTAAATATGAGATTCTAAAATAAGCCATCACTGAATACTAGACAAACTATAGTGTTTGTGGATAGATGATTTTCTAAGAGAAAAAATGTGTTGAAATATAATTTTAAATTTCTAATAAAATTATTTTTAAACCATCAACCTTCCCAAGGAAAAGAAAAAAAATTTGCCTCTCACTACCTAGTATATGTCTTTACAACTTCATTTTTTTATTTTTTATTTTTTAGGCAATTGGGGTCAAGTGACTTGCCCAGAGTCACACAGCTAGTAAGTGTCAAGTGGTTGGTCTGGGGTCGGATTTGAACTCAAGTCCTCCTGACTCCAGGGCCGTTGCTCTATCCACTCCAGTATGTGTCTTAAGAAATGACTGTGCAGATCAAACATCACTATATTGCATACTATGGCTAATAACACGAAGGACAAATTAATTAAACAATTTATGTTATAAAAATTTGAACCAGATTCTTGCCACTCTAATTGACATAATACACAAAATCAAATTCCAGGTTAGGTGTAGATAAAGCACTGGGCCTTGAATCAGAAAGATCTAAGTTCAAATCCAGCCTCAGACACTCACTAGCTGTTTGACTTTGGTCAAATCACTTTATTGCTGCCTGCTTTAGTTTCCTCAATTATAAAATGGAGATACTAATAGTTCCGACTTCACAGTGTTGTTGTGAAGATCAAATGAGATAATATTTATACACTGCTGGACACATAGCAGACTCTAAATAAGTGCTTGTTCCTTTCTCTCCTTCCCTTCTCATTTAACAAAGTAATTTGCTTTTTTCCTTGTACAACTTTCCCCTTTTAAACTGATTTTTAAAAAAAATGAAGTTGGATTTTTGCCACTAATTCACTTGTTACAGAAAGTTATCTATCAAATTACAGGTTAACAAAAAACAAAATATTAGCAAACAGGTTAAAGTAACATATTTGGGAGTATATAGAGCTAGGAGGCACAGTGAATAGCGAGCTGGATCTGGGGTCATGAAGACTTGAGTTCAAATGTGACCTCACACTTAATATGTCTGTGACCTTGGGCAACTAATTCTCTATTGGCTTTAGTTTCCTAAACTGTAAATGGGGATAATAATATCATCTACTTCCCAGGGCTGCTATGAGGATCAAATGAGATAATATTTGCCAAGTGCTTAGCACATTGCCTGGCACATAGTAGGAGTTATATAAAAACGTTTATTATGATCATTATCATTATTAATATCATTTCCAAGTAAACTACATTAATGGAAAAATTGCAGAGGAATCTCCCATACCTCTCCCTCTCTCAATTCTTCTGTCCTGGACTTTCTTGTCTAAACCCTCTCATTTGCCAACTTCAACTGCTCTTATGGATTAATTATCATCGCTACAGCAAATAACTCTCACAATCCTACCAGGTGCCCGAAAGAAAATCAGGCCTTACCATCTGCCACTATGCCATCTGGACTACCAAACCAGATGGTTTCTTATCTGCCCTGTCAAAGCATCACCTTCCTCCTTCTTTCCCTCCCTCACCTGGGCAGCTGATGTACTCTAAGGGCCACTGCCTTTGTCATCTGCTTTGCCCTTGCACCATAAACCTTTCTATCCATTCTGCACCTGTACTCTCCTATGTGTTCTTTCCCCCAATTAGATTGTAAGTTTCTTGAGAGAAAAGATTATCTAGCTTATCACTCTGTATGTACCTCAAAACTTAGCACAATGCTTGACATACTAAGAATTTTTAAGTGATTTTCATTCATTCATTCATTCATCTAGCCCTAAATTCTCTCCCAAGCTCCAGTCTCACATCAATTATCTATTGGATATTTAAAACTATATCTCTAATATACATCTCAAAAACTGAATTCATTATTCTATCTAAAGCCTATCCCTCTCCCCAACTTCCCTATTTCTATTAAGGGCATTACCATCCTTCTAGTCTTCAAGGTTCACAATCTTGAAGGCACTCTAGATTCTACTATCCCTCACCCTTCATATCCACTCAGTTGCCACATCTTTCCATTTCTACACCCACATTTCCCTCCACCTACCCCTTCTCACATTCTCTCATCCACCTCTTCTCTCCACTCACACAGTTACCACTTAGTTCAGGCCCTCATTAGCTCTAGCCTAGATTATTAAAACAGCATTCTAATTGATCTCTCTGGTTCAAGTCTCTAACTATTTCAATCTGTCTTCCACCTATGTCATATGCCCAAGTCACTATGGCTTGGAATGGGGGAGGAGAAGGGAAGGGACTAAAGGACTACTAGTTGCTGGCATCCAGGTCACTATTATACCTGGAGACTCTTCGTACCTCCAACTGTTTCTGGCACATTGGATGGATCTACTATGACAAACTTCTGGGAAGTCACAGAAAACAGTCAACTAAGGATGTGGAGGCATAAATGGACTGAAATCTACATTACTGGAGGGAATTTCTAAATCAATGACATCACTAATTCATTTGTGTAAAAGTAAAGAAAGGAAGCATGGTAAGATGGAAATAGAATTTTTAACTAGATAGATCTGTTAAGAAAACATCATAAACATTCCACTTTTTGAATTAAGCATTCATGATTCATTTTGGCTAACGGAGGAAATCTCTTTTGGGCACTTTCCCCCTTGACTGAGTAGAACCAAGCACTAGGAATTCACGCCAATGATTGACCAGGGTTTCCCTAATAAGGATTTTCCATACAATGTGGCATATATTATTTTAATTAAAGGAAAATATACATGTGGTGTTGCTACAATCTCTAGTAAAGATATTAAGAATTTAGCTCTACGACAGCATCACAAAGTCGCTCTGCCACAGGTAGATGAGTGTAAAACTTGTTCTTGAAATCCAATTAATCTAAAAACTGACTATTCCTCCAAAAATAGCATATTATAGTCAAGGCTGGTTATAGGAATCCCAGATAAAGAATATCATTCAATGTATATGTATAGCCTACATCAGATAGTACACCATCTTGGGGAGGGTAGTGGGGAGGAAAGGGGAAAAAATTTTAAACTCAAAAGCATATGGAAGTGATTGTTGATAAATCAAAATAAATTAATAAAAAAATTTTAAAAATAAAAAAATAAATAAAAGAACGTCATTCAAGAAAGCATCAGTTCAGATACAAATAGTCTTAGAAAAGAGCTCAGACACAAAAAAATCTTACACTACACTTCTCACTTGGCTGCATACATTGGGACTTCTCTTATTGACATTTCCACCATACCCCCAAGGAAGCTCATTATTGGAATGACCTTGTCATCCTGTAAGATCTCATCAGTCTTGGACCTCCTGCCTCTCTAATTGATTGGTGGGGTCAGGAATTCCAAATCTCCACTTAAAGAGAAATCTCAACTCAGACATCTCATTTCTCATTTGGCTGCACTACCTTGAGACTTCTCTTACTGCCTTTCCACCATATCCTAGCAATGAGACTTTCATTTTTCATGTTTATATCCCCAAAGCTTAGCACAGTGCCTGTTATATACTAGGTGCTTAATAAATTCTTATTAATTATTGATCATAAGTATCCTTGTTGCACAACTATAGTTATTCAACACCCTAATAAATGCTTAGAGGAGTGGCTCTTATGAGACACCTATAAATAATTAATAATAATAAATTCTAAATCATTAATAATCAATAATATATGTCATCAATAATAATAAAAATTAATACTAATAATTACTCTGCCCTACCATGGCAAGGATATGTAGCCAGGATAAGTATAAAGGCATTTATCTTTAGTTTTGATAGATCCAGCTTCCCTTTCTTCCTCACAGAAATGTATCTGATTGGCAGGTCATCAGGATATGCTGCTTCACATGGTTTTATGCACCATCAAGTCTAACATACCTTAGACTCTACTTGGCTGGGACTTTATATGCCCCTATACAACCAGGGTAGCTAGGTGGTATAGTAGATAAAGTGCCAGGTCTAGAGTCAGGAAGATTCACCTTCATGAGTTCAAATCTGGCCTCAGACACTTACTAGCTATGTGACTAGCAAGTCACTTCACTCTTTCCCTCAGTTTCCACATCTGTAAAATGAGCTGGAGAAGGAAATGGAAAACCACTCCAGTATTTTTGCCAAGAAAACCCTAAATAGGGTCATGAAGAGTAGAAAACAACAACAACAAATATAACCAAGAAGCTGCATCAAGAAAATCTGGGCCAACCAGATGCTAGGGCAGTTTTGTCATCTTTAGGTAAAGCCTCCCCGTGTTGTGGGTGAGAAGAAAGAAGCTGTGTTGGGAAAATGCTGGTTGTATCACACAGGGCCACTCTTTTGATATCACAAATCTAAATAAGAGTTAAATAATCAAGACAACATAGATTTGGAGTCAAAAGAACTGGATTGTGTGATATCAGCTGCAATACTTATTAGTTGTATGACCTTGAAAAAGTCAAACTGTCAGAGCATTAGTTCCTTTGTGAGTACACATGGTGATATTAACATCTGTATTATCTACCTTATAAAACTATGGGGAAAGTGCCTTACAAATTGTAAAGAGTTATAAAACCATGATTTATTATTTCAAAGTTTCTCTCCACTTGAGAGGGAAGGGCAAAGAGGAGTATTATTTCGGACCCAATTTATTTATTTAATCTTGTAGGCCTAACAACATATTCTCATGGCCATATAAGTAACACAGGGGAAAAAACAATTAATTCGATTAAAATAATATCATCGTGTTTATAAAGTTTGATGACTTGCAAAGCACTTTTCCCACATCATCATGAGTCAGGTAATACAAGTATTATCCCCATTTTTACACAGATGATGAAAATGGATTTAACTGACTTGCCATGGTCACAAAGTACATGAGGAATGATTTTAACTCGGGTCCCCTGGTTCCAAGTCCTGAGTTTTTTTTCTTATGATCCTCAGGACCATGTAAATCGTAAAGTAATATATAAGTATGAAATATCTTCAGCCATTCACATGCCATTCCACTTCAGGTAGAGACCAGATCTTTAATTTCACTGTTAGAGGGAACACCATGGTAAAGAAACTCCCTAAGCCAATGTAACACTTCTATGCCAGTGTACATTTCTCTGTAACTTACAGTCTAAAAGAGTTTATTAGAGCACTGAGAAATTAAGTGTCTTTCACATAGGCAGAACTTGAACTAGATGGTCATTTCTGACTCGAAAGTCAGCTTTCTAACCACTATGCATGCTGTTTCTCTCTCCATCTCATGCACTCCATACAAATGATACTACTTATCATTACATGAACATGTCACACAATCTGGATTCTCCTCATCCATCCTTAGATTATGTTATTAAATATTAAAGAAATGGTATTGTAGTGTCCTAGTGACTAGGTCCTATTCAGAAGTCATTGGTACTACCCAAATAGAAAAACTGTCAATACTTAAATCTGTAGAAACAATGTCCTGTTTTGAAATCCTTTTGTTTTATCTTTATCAAAGGCCTAACCAATTTCTAAATGGAATCTAAGTCAGATTTCAGGAAGGAACCTTGAACTCCCTGAAAACAAATCAGGGTGCCCACCAAACTCAGATTAATAAAATTAAGAGCAGTATCTCTTTGTCCACCCTTGATCAGAATAAATGGTTTAGGAAGATGGTTGATAAATTAAATTACAATTATTCTGTTTAAACTCTAACTTAAACTTTGTACCCTTGTTTAATCTTCAATGTGGAACATTGCCTTTTTTCATGATTACTATAAAATGAGTTGCGGAGAATTCAACAAAGAATAAACTCTTTCCTTTCATTTTCTCTCTAAAAAGCCCAATGCCTAAAATTTAACTCATAATTTTGTTAAGAAATCTGGAAAGCTTCTACCAAAAATGAATACTGCTGAGTTTTCTTCAACAATCTTCACCTTTTGAAATCCTATGAGGCCCAAATCAAATGCTACACCCAAGTTTTCACTGACTCCATGGTAGAAAACCACCTCTTCCTTCTTAGAATTCTCACAACTCTGTGATTCTATTTATTTTGCCATGACCCTCAGCAAACTACTTAACTTCAAAGGAACTACAAAACACCATATTTTCTTTTGTATTATTGCTACTTGCAAACAAGCCTCATTGCTCTTAAATTATTTTAGTTTATGTAAGTTCTCTGGTGTCAGGAACCATGTATTATTCATCTTTGAATGTTCCTCATTGCCTAGCAATGTTTTCAAATTCGTTGAGATGAACTCAAATTTTAAATATATGTGGTGATATCAATCTGAAGTTTCTTTCAAGATGCATATTGCAACCCAATCATGCCTGCCTAGCCCATGTGACTCTTATCCATGGTGTCCTATCATTCCATCATTCTGCCTGAGGTAGAATCCTTACACAATTTTTCCTGATATCAAAAGGGTACTAGTAGAATACTCCGGATATTTTGCCCTTAATCACATGACCAACCCATCTTCTCTTTCGACTATACATTTTCTTGATAAAGTTTTTATTCTACTATTGAATTAACTAGAAGTTCTAAGAACTAAGCAATAGGCTTGGCTTTGATGTGGAAATGTTCTTCCACTGTTCATTTATCTTTTAATCTATAAGCTATAATGATGTGTTGATACAGGATCACAACTTTAGAGCTAGACACTCATATACAGCTTAATCTAATTACATTATTTAACAGGTTAAGAGGTGGCACAGTGGATAGAGCACTGGACCTGGCGTTGGGAAGACCAGAGGTCAAATCCAGTTTCAGATACTTGCTATCTTATGACCCTGAGCAAGTCACTTAAACTTTGTCTGCCTCAGTTTCCTTATCTGTAAAATGAAGATAATAATAGCACCTACCTCATTGGGTTGTTGTGAGGATCTAAAGATAACATTTATAAAGTGCTTAGCACAGTGCCTGACACATAGTAGGTGCTTAATAAATGCTTATTCCCTTCCCTTATTCCTTTCCCCCTCATTTGACAGATGATAAAACTAAAAGCCAGAGAGGCTAACTTGCCATGGTAACCAAGAGAACTAAGTAAAAGAGCTGGGATTCAAACCCAGGTTCTCTCACTCCAAAAATCCAGTATTCCTTCCATTCCAACAGACCACAGTACTTCTAGAAAATCTAAGGACCAAATAAATAATGAAGAGAAATGTGCTTTGAACTGCTTTTGCTAATGAGGCGCTTTTAAATAGGATTTTATTCTTGTTAGAAAACCATAGCTTCTCAGTGAGATCAAAGAAAGGAAGAAATAAAAAGGAAAGGGAATTGCAGCTTTTAAAAAAGGATTCAAATAAAAAGCAGTTAAATTATTTTTTAAAGACTCCCATATCAAGTCTTTTCATAATCCATCATTGAATATATAATTAATGCACAGGTAAAAATCATACCGTTATCTCCATATTCAAGTCTAACAGCTAAACCGAGAAGCCAATCAATAGTTTCCTGTCGCTCTTGAATCTTGAAAGGGCAGTTAACATCTTTCAGATACTGTGAAAAGAAGAAAATCTGGTTCATTATCACCAGTTAAATGGCAACATATAGTTAGAAATAAGAATTAATAAATAAGCCATAGTGTCTATATTTAGATGAACAATTTTGTATTAATTATACCATCTAGGGCACAATATGTCTTATATATCTAAATCTTAAAACAATGAGTGATTAAAACAACAAAATACCACTACTATACAATTTAGACATTCAAGTTAAGTGTTGTTCTTCATTGTAGCTCCTTTGTAATTCATTCATTCATTCAATATCCATTTAAGTATGTATTACATGTCAGATACCACACCAGGTGCTGGGAAAACAAAGACAAAAACTAACTAGTCCTTGACATGCAGAAGGTTACATTCTATCAGAGGAAACATGAATACAAAAAAGAACAGGGGAAACAAATTCAAAAAAGAAATAGAAAGTAATTTATGGGTAGGAGAGCAAAAGAAACTGGAGAAGTTGAGGACAGGCCTCTTGTAGGAAATGACAAAGTGAAAGACTAACAGGTAGGGAATCTGGGTGATTTAAAAGATGGTAGTGGCCTTGACAACAATAAAGAAAATATAAAGAGGAGAGTATTTAGGATGGAAAGATAACAAATTGTTTTTAACATTCTGAATTTAAAATTTTGGAACATCCTATTGGAAATGTTTAATATATAGTTGCTGGTGTGTAACTGGCGCTCAAAAGAGAAACTGGGGCTAGATATATAGATCTGGGATTCATCTACATAGAGGTGATAGCTGAACCCCAGAAGCTTTTGATGTCACTAACAACGATTGCCACTGCTCAAAACATTGTTGGAATACATACAGGTTTTAGATCTGCTTTCAAGTTGTTTTATGAAACCTAAAGTTAGCCTCATTATTTCATAGACACATCTTGTTTCAAACCTAAAATGAGATAACCCATCTTGATTATTCATCTATCAAACTTAACTTTGAATATTCAATTCATGACCTTTCAAAACCTAGAACCCAAAATATTCAAAAGCATTTGCTAAGAGTTCTAAATTCCCAAATTCAAAGGATTTAATGTGGCATTGCGGAGAGAATTCTGGACGTGGAGTTGGGAAGGCCTGAATTCAAACTATGCCTCAGATACTTAACTAGTTGCATTACACTGGATAAATCCTGTAGGACAAATCCCATCAGGGAAGAATAGTAACAACTACCTTATAGAGTGTTGTAAGCATGAAATGACACAGAATTTTGCAAAGGTTACAGCAATATACAAATGTTAGCTATTATTGTTATCAAATCCAACTAAATTATTTTATGAATGAGGAAATTTGAGGGTCAGAGTACATAAGCATCTTGCCTAAGTAACAGAGCAAATTAAACAACAAAATCAGGATTCAAACACAGGACAGGGTGATGTCATGAAAATCTAGACAGAAGATATTATCTAAGGAGAAGGGGGTAACATTGTCAAAGGCTGTAAAGAGGTCAAGAAGGATGAGAATTGAGAAAAGGACATTAAATCTGGCAATTATGTACATTCCTGAGAACAGGTTTTGGTTTTTTAATTTTTGGGGGGGAGGGGTGGTTGTTGGAGGTGGTTGTTGTTCAACAATTCAGATAAAAATAAATGTGTTTAAAAAACAGGACAAGAATCTGTAGAAGTTGGAGATGTTTAATCTGGAGAACAGAAGGCTAACGGGGGATATAATAGTAGTATTCAAGTATATGAAGGACTATCACATGGAAGAAGGATAAGACTTGTTCTATTTAGCCTCGGAGGGCAGAACTAGAAGTAATGAGGGAAGTTTTAAAGAAGCAAGTTTAAAATGTGATGTCAGCAAAAACTTCCTCCAACAATTAGAACTATCAAAAGCAGAATAGGTTCTCCATCACAGGAAATCTTCAAGAAAAATCTAGGCAACCAATTTACTACAATGAGTTTATGTTTTAGTAGCTATTTTTTTGGGGGTACAGTTAGGAATAGATGGTCTTTGAGGCTCCTTTTAACTATATAATTCTGTGATTCTATGTGAGAATCCCACTGTTTGGAGGACAGATGATTAACATTCAGCTATGCTTTCCCTAATTATCAATGCATATGGTTTTATACTACAGCTAGGGATACAGTATATGAATATGGAACAGAATAAAGATAACTGGCCTCCACAGTTAATTAATCCATGATGATCTGAGAAATCTACTGATACCACCAGATGTAGGTCACAGATTCGTTTTTTAATGTACAACAATTAGAATGAGTTTGCCACATTCTTGCATATAATATTTACTAACATATTGGAACAGGTTGTTCTCCTATGAAATTGTAACTATTAGTGAAAAATTACAAAAATATAGAATATTTTAACATCCCTTCCAGCCCTAAATTCTATTATCATAAAGGTGGTTTTAGGTGTATATTGTTGCATTTAATAAACTTGTCCTTTTTATCAATCATATCAAACAGTTTCTATAATGGGCATTACTAATTATCAACAGGCACCAATTAGTGAAGGATGGGTTCATCTTGGGTAAAGATGTTGTACAGTTAGAAAGGTCAAGGACAGATTTGCAAATGGGGGGAAAAAGCTTTGCAAATATTAACTGCTAAATAACAAAAATCACACTTGAGTCTTTTAAACCAAGTCAAAAAAGTATTATAGATATGAGATCATTCATTGGGGGATAAGGATACAAGGAGGCGGAATATAAACAACATGCAACAGTGGATGGGGACTTAACCTTAGGGTAAGGAAGATCTAGGTTAAAGTATTACTCAAGAAATATACTAGCTATGCAAACACAGGCACATCAACTAACCTCTCAGTGGCCCAGGAAACTCTCTAAAATTGTAAGTTACAGCCAAGTTACTAATCTGGATTGGTGGAAAATGTTCCACATTAGTAGTTACCCACACAAATAAAAATCACAGGTCCAGACACAATTCCCACTGCTCAAAAAAAAACAAAAACAAAAACCCAGCCGGGGGGGGCGTAAGAGGGGAAGAGATGGGAGGAAGGAATTTCTTTAAGCGAAGGATGGCAAAAAAAAAAAAAAGAGAGAGAGAGAAAAGGATGGGTTTAAAAGAGGGAAGGATGGGTTTCTTTATCTTTACAAAATGCAACCAACAACAATTATACTACATGTATAAGCACAGTACTTCAGATGTACATTATAGTCAGAGGGCTAGTGTCTTATAAAGCCATATAAGACATTCTGAGACTGGAAGTCACCCTCTAGGACTCTGCCACTCCAGAAAATCATCATGTATCCTGCTGTTTTATGAGAAACTTTTCAAGACACAGTGAGAACCACATTGACAATAGAATAAATGTGAGTCAGTTTAACTACTACCAGATATGAACAAAAACTATATAGTTTGAGGGTTCTCAAAAAAGGTGAAGCAAATGGTTCTCCAAAAAACCTCTGATGTCATTAATTCACATACAATTTTTTAAAAATAATCCTCATTTTAAACAAAGTTTTATTTTTTTTCAGTTTCTGAAGGCCTTTATGAACATAAACATATAAACATAAGCTTTAAAATTTTCTTGTTTATGTAGAATTAAAACATTATGAGTTAATTTTCATTTTTGGTTTCCTCTCAAAAATTAGTTTGCTTAGATGAATAGATCTTGTTTCACTAGTTTAACTTCACTGTATTTACCTAAATATATATATAACAAAAACTAAGAGGGCTAAAATTTTTAGTAATATTAGTATAGTACAACTGAATTACTGTGGGTTTCCTTAATCACTATCATCTACTTCTTGATCTTTTTTCACACAAAATTTTTCTCAATTTTCTCATCTATAAAATAAGAAGGTGCACTAAATGTTATCTAAAGGTTTTCCAACTAAATCTGTAATCTTTCCCCCATTTAACAGGTAAGAATCAGTTTCCATTCCAAAACTGAATGACTATTATTCCTAATTTAAAATTAAATTTTATTTTTAAAAATGTTTACTTCCTTGACCCAGTGATTCATTACCTTTTCAAAGAACTTGGGCCATTCACTGTTGTGGATGTTTCTTAAATTTCCTCTGTCTTCGATCTTGTAGTGTCTAATCTTCTGATCCTCAAGCCAAACAATAAAGTTTCTAAATTCTGTTTCATCTGTAGCAAAAATTTTAGACAAATCAGAATACAAGATTTTAGTTAAGGCAAAATAAAGAATGATAGTAACAGCAAAATGTACATCTTCTTAAATGTAATCTTTTCTATACATTTTAGCACAGACTTCTTTACTATACAAATTTATTAATTCTATTATGTCCTTCCTGAATATTAAAAATGAACAAGTACTACAAAGCAATGAAAGAAAGAAAACATCTTTTAAAATGAAATAAAAGAAAAACTACTATAAAGCTATCAAAAAAAGAACGAAAGTAATATGAGCACATCACTGGAGTGAGTAAAAAAAGGGAAGATTACTATTAAACCCCAATCAGTAAATTTTGCTTTGGGGGAAGATCCAGTTTAATAAGGAGTTAAGATAACATATAATTATAATATACAATAGTATAACATTTAGAGAATTAGGTAAAGCAATAGGTAAGATCTGTAGAGTAATCCAAAGAATAGACAGTGAAATGAAAAATTAAAACTTTCAAACAAAAGAATGAGAAAGATGGTATGAAGAGGTGAAGACTCTAAGAAAAGTTCTCAGTTAAAATTTTTAAGGCTTCTGAAATATTCAAAGTACTTTATTAACTATATATCCACTATAACAAAGTTATTTAAAATATTACAAGTTTCGGCATATCAAAACACTGCTGATCAGTTTCGAATGGCTAAAATCTATTTAGCAATTCAAGATCATCAAAGCACTCTACAAATTTTGTCATTTAATGGCCACAACAGCCCTGTAAGGTGAGTACTGTTATCTCAGTTTTGCAGATGAAAGAAACTGAGGATCATAAGCAATTAGATGTCCGAATAATGAATATTCGAAGATGTTATAGGGTTTATCTTAGGATTCTTTTCATTTTTATTAATCTACAATAGGCCAAAGAATATGGCCATGATGTACATTTTACTATATGCTGCTTTGTTTTCTAGTTCTGTGGACATATACGTAGACTCCTCGAGCTCTCTTTGGCCGGAGACCCTGTCACACGGACTACCTCCCACAGCACCTACACAGGAACATAAGTCTACCCGGCATTCAACTAATACCAAATGATCAGTTTTTACAGATAGGGAAATACTTCCTTTGGCCATAGTGGGTTGGGTTTTTCCCCTTTTCTTTAATGGAGGAGGGAAGAAGAGGTGGACTTACTTTGACGGGGCTGAAAAAGAGAAATGACGGCAGACAGAACTGTGTGGTTTAAGGGCACGGCAGGAGCTTGACTCCATACTGAAGCGCTCCAGGAATCTAGCAGTAAAGGGATCTCACTAATGGGAGAAAGAGGGGTATGGAGAAAATGGAAGGAAAGCCTAACAAGGAGAGAGGCAGCAGCCGAAAGGGGATGTGCGTACTCAGAAGAGGTCGGGTGCTGCCGAGTACGAGTGACGCATTCCCAGGCCTAACTCCAGCAAGGCCTGCACCGAGCATCGGCCGCCTCCCTCACCTTTGCAGTTGAAACCGGCAGGGTTGTGATAGTCGAGGGCCGTCAGCTTGCGGCGGAACATGGTACTGGCTTCTATCTCGGTCGCCGTGGCACGCGAGGCCCAGGAAGTTAGAGCTGTAGCAAAAAAAAAAAACAAAAAAAAAGCAGTAGAAGCAAGGAGGCAAAAGAAAGCTGCCTCCAGAAAGTCCGAGTGACAAATTCAGTTGCGAATCCCCAACTCAGTAACTCCCAGCAGCCTGAGGGAATTCACCAATCACAGCGCAGCCTGAGAAGGTGGGGCTAGAAGTGAGTGACGTCACATTTAATAAACTTTATTGTCAATGACTGAAATGAACAATAAACAAAGAGGCAGGGTCTGGAAATTCTAATGTAGTTTTCCCCCAAAATAACAAACCAATGAATTGGGCATGAAACTAAAAGAAAACTGGAAAAACAATACAATTAAAAACCCCAATTGGATACAAAAAATAGACTCTATTTGGGCTTTTCTTGGCACAGATACTGGAGTAGTTTGCCATTTTCTTCTCCAGTTCATTTTACAAGTGAGGAACTGAGATAAGCAGGGTTGAGTGACTTGCCAGAGGTTACCAGCTAGTAAATGTCTGAGGTTAGATTTGAAATCAGGAAGGTGAGTCTTCCTGTGCCACCTAGCTGTGCCACCTAGCTGTGCCACCTAGCTGTCCAAGAAGAGATTAACAAAATAGAAAGCACAAAATTAATTAATAAATAAAACTAAAATCCGGATTCTTTGAAAAAGCTAATAAAACACATAAATCATTAGCTAATTTTAAAGAAAGCTTTTATGAATGATTTTTATTAAAGCATAGAAATTACCAATATAAAAAATGAAAATGGAAAATTCACAACAAACAAATAAGACAAAGAAAATTATTAGAAACTAGTTAGCAAAACTATATGCCAAGACAACTTAAATGAAATGAATAAATAGACGTAAGAATACACAATACCAATATTGATAGAACAAAAAAATGATAATCTAATGTTAGAAAATAAATTGAATAATCCATAAACTATAGTAATAATAAGCATAACCAGAAGACTTTGCAAGCAAATTCTATTAAACCTTTAAAAATCAATTCCGGTATTACATAAGCTGTTTATAAAAGAAAAGAAAAGATCATACCAAATTCATTCTGGGATGAAAATATATATTTGTACTTAAACAAGAAAGATTGAAAACAAAGAAAGAAAACTATATACCAACATCCCTAATGAATCTTGCCACAAAATTTGTAAATAAAAAGAGTTTACAGTAATCTATTATTGGGGAGTTCAGAAGAGGGGAGGGATTTGGAGCTATGCAAAAGTAGAATGATCTTTCTATGGTGGTAGTAAATTACTCCAACACTGTTTCTTCAAATGGAAGCTAGATGATTACTTCTTGGAGATCTTATAAACAGTATTTTTTTCCTGAGGTTCCTTTAGACTATTGAGATTTTATGATTTGTAGATAGATATAAATTTTATTTTTTGTACAAATACACATGCATACAGATATGTGTTTACATATTTGTGTATACGTGTGTGTGTGTGTGTATAAACACAAACCATAAAATCTCAGGAGTTGGAAGGAATTTCAGGAAAAAATATACACATATACATACCTATACACACACATGCACACACATATGTCTCCCCATGTCCACAAACAGCTAAAATGAATCATTATAGTTTAAAGTGCACTCAAAATCACGTTCAGGGATTCAAAAACGTTAGTGTTGAACTAGGTTAAACTCTAAGGTCCTTTCCAGCTCTAAGATTCTATCACTTCCCTGATTTATCCTAATATAATAAGAATAAAAGGCTGCAAGATTAGGGAGTTTAGGGTTGCAAATTTGCACAAATTGGTCACATTGAGAAATAATTAAAATAATTCAACAGGAGGTGGGGAAAATTCAGTACTGTCCATCAATAAAGAATTACAAAAAGGCTCTTCACTATCGCAGATGGATCTCAAAATCTCTGGTCTAGGGGATTTGATAATATGCTTATAAGGGTACTTACTGTCATAATATATCTTTGGGTACATGCAATTTGGATTCTTTCAAGATTGTGGAATCATGTGTTCCATGATACAGAGCTATATAGTATCAACAGGAGACCTGGATGGGTTCTTGCAAAAGTAAGCAGCATTGAAATCACTATGCAATCTCTCAAATGTGATCCAGCTTGATTTCTTCACAGATGATTAGAGCTGGAAGGGACCTTAAGAATCATTTTGTCCAAACTCGTCTCATTTTACTGAGGGGGGAATTGAGATCCACAGTGGTTAAATGATTTACCCAAAATCAGACAGTGCATAAATAACAGAAAGATTTTAAAGCCAGGTCTACTGACTTCAGTGAATTTTCTATATTGCACTGCCTCTTTGGGTCCAATTCACTGTCCATCTTCAAATCTTGCTAGGAGTATGAGAGAAGAGAGGAGGAGAGATTGGCCGATAGAGACAGAAATGGAATGAAACAGATAGATAAATATACATAGAGAGAAAAAAAGAGGGAGGCAAGATAAAAATGACGATATTTTTGTGGTTGTTACATTTACATTGTTACAGTCATTGTTTATTTTTTTTTCTTGACTCTGCTTATTGCATTCTGCATGCTTCCTTTTATTCATCACAATCATTCCATTATATTCATGTACCAAAATTTGTTTAGGTATTCCCAAATTGATGGGCATCCACTTTTTCCCTCAGTGCTTTGATATCAGAAAAAATATGCTGCTATAAGAATTTTGGTCATATGGAGACTTTCTTCTAATCAATGACCTCCTTGGGATTGGTCATTTGGTTGTTGTCTGTCATTCTTGAAGAGTACTAAAATGGCATCACTATGTTGGGGTCAAGGTACAATGTGTCCAACAATGACTGATCAAATAGTCCATATGAATATTTGGAGTGGTTAATGTCTCTAAATTTGTACACCCACAATTCTGCTTTGCTCATAGAGCACAGTGCCTTTGTTGATGCAGGCATGACATGCTGGGTGATCCTGTGCCAGTGTCTTCCTTGTCTCACAATTTATTCCAAAGTTCTTCATAAATACTTTGAGAGTGTCCTTGCATCGCTTCTTCTGACCTTCGTGTGAGTACATCCAGTGTGTGAGTTCTCCATGAAATAGTCTTTTAGGCAAACATATATTTGGCATTCAATTCTTTCTTGGAATATAAGCCTAGTAAAAGAATCTCTGAGTCAAAGGGTACAGACATTTTAGTCACTTTATTTGCATAATTCCACATTGCTTTACAAAATGGTTTACAATTCTACCAACAATAAACTACTGTACCTATCACATGACAATCCTTCAACACTAATTTTCCTCTTCTTTTGTCTTTTTTGTCAATTTACAGAATATGAAATAAAAACTCAAGGTTGTTTCAATTTGCATTTCTTCTAATAGTAATTTGGAACATTCATGTATTCAAAATATTGTTAATATTGTGCTACTTTTTTGAGAACTATTGGCTCATATCCTTTAACCAATTGTCTATGGGGGAATGTCTTTTGATCATATATATTTGTTAATTATTTCTATATCTTAGATACCAAACCCTTATGCCAAGAAAAATTAATACAAAGATTTTTCCCATTCAATTACTTTTGTTTAATGTTTGTTTGTGCAAATGCTTTCTATTTTCATGTAATCAAAGTTATCTATTTTATCTTTTGCAATTACCTCAATCCCTTGTTTAGACAAGAACTGAGTAGGAACTTTGAAATATAAACTTGAGTTAAGGGAAAACTTGAAAATTAGTAATTACAATGGATTGTATGATGATATAGTGCTAACATTCCAATGGAAAGAAACAACTGTCCTTCAGAACTTTAGTGTCTTCAAAAAGTACTGAGGGAGTTAAAAAAAAAATACCTGAAGGTGGATCGGTTCTATTTTGAAGATTTTAAGAAGAGAAAGAGAATGCAGGGTGGAAAGAATAGAGAGAAAGATAATACAGAATATAGAAAGAAGTAAAAAGGGCAAAACTTGGCTGTATTCCTCATAAGGAAGAAAAATATACAAACATAAAAGAAGGAATGTGGGAACAGGCATCAAACAAACCTCACTTAAATGATATGGATAAAGAAAGGTTGACCACAAACATAGATTGGTGTAAAAATATATCAGATTCAACAGAAAATAAGAAGGATTAGAGGAGGAGTGTTCAGAGGGAGGGAATATTTGTAAACTAAACAAACTTCCTGATCCTTAAGGGAGGATTAAAGTAGAAAAAAAAAATGAAGCAGAATCTAAGGGAGTACCCTTCAGGTGGGAAAGGGCTGAACATCTTGAATTGGATATCCCAGGGGAGGATGATTGGGGAAGGGGAAAGAAACAAGCATTTATAGAGATCTTTCCTGCCCCCCACACCCTTACTGCCAATGATTTCCCTTTGAGATTGCTCCCAGTTTATTCTGTGTAAATCTTGTGTGTACATGGTTAATTGCTTGTTGTCTCCCCTATTATTTCAAATTAGGAACTATAATTCTCTCTCTGGTGTTTTCATTGAGGAATCCTTGCAGAGCACAGAACTCAGACCATAGGTCATCCACTGAATCCTAGACTTTTGTCTTGCATTGGACTTCAATGACTCTGAAAGAGGGAGTGAGGCTGATGACTTCGCACAACTCTGCCTCACTTAAATACAACTTAAGCTCAACGTATTTCATATATTTTCATATATTTGACAATTTTACTATTTTATTATTTTACTACTCAACTATCTTACTATTTTATCTGCCTTGAAGTCCTATAGTGACATGCTAGTGACAAAGCAGCAGGTGGCAGATACACTGGGAGCTGTAGTCATAACCCTGAACATGGCATCCTCGGCAGTAGGGGCACCTTCTCACTAGAATGAAGCAGCGAGAACTGAGGCCACCAAGATAGTAGAGGGAAAGCAGTGACTTGCTTGAGCTCTCCCCCAAACCCTTCCAAATACCTGTAAAAAATGGCTCTAATAAAAATAAATAAATAAATAAAAATGTCTGTAAACAAATTCTAGAGCAGGAGAACCCATAAAAAGATAGAGTAAAACAAATTTCCAGCTCAAGACAACCTGGGTGGTTGATTGGAAAGGTCTATTGTGCCAGGCTGGGAGAGGAGCATAGTTCAGCATGGGTTCATGGACAAAGACCAGGCCTCAGCAAACCTGGAGCAGGCCTCAGCAGACTGAAT